GATGCTAGACATTGAGAAGTGACTGGTGGTTACCATGGGGGAGCGGTTGGGGTGGGGGTATGGGGAGGGGGGGTGAGGAGGTTAAAGGGGCATAAAAATCTCAATCATAATATAAATTGATCACAGGGATGGAAGTGCAGCATGGAGAATATGGTCAATGGTTCTGTACCAGCCTCTGTTGACAGACAGAATCACTCTAGTGGGGGAGAGGATTTAATAATGTGGAAACTGTTGAACAATTGTGTTGTATACTTGAAACCAGTATAAGATTGTACAACTATGCTTCAATTTAAAAAAAAGATGTGATGACTTCTTTCAAGAAGAGTGTAAAAGTTCTTTTAAATTTATGGTGAAATATATATAACTGTTAGTCTTTATGATACTTTAAATCTTTTATAGGGTGTTTAAAAATGTGCTCACGGAACAAGAATTTAAACAATACAGAAGAACTGAAAGTACATGAAGTAAAACAATAAAAGACCCTCCTTACCCATCTGCCCCTAAGAACGTCAGGTGTGTGTCTCTCCGTCGTGTGGTGCACGTGCATCTGGGACGCACACGCAGATGAGGGTCTAAAACAGGCTCCCGCTTTGCTCGGTCCTCCACAGCTCGCCCCCCACACCCGGCGTCTGGTCCGTGCAGTGGCTGCTGTTCTTTCACAACACGCTGCGGTGGCGATGGGCACACAGACTTCGCAGGCGTGGAAGTGTGAGCAGGGCCGCCAGCCTCACGGGGCGCAGGATCACAGCCGCCCCCAACCCCACCCGGCCTCGCTTCCCTGTTCGGAAGCAGGGGCTGCTCCTCCTGGCGAGTCGTCGGAAGGCCAATGGTGACGTAATGCGTCACAGGGCCTGCGTCACCGCCTCACCTCCAGCCCACCGGCGTGTTAGCATCTCACAGCGTTGCAAGGTGCGTGCAGGAAAGACATTGAGGGCGAGAGGCTGCCTTCCCCACGTGTGTGCCGGTGAATCCTTGTAAGTGTTCCATTATTAGTTGTTAATCTACTGCTCTTAATTACAAACTATGTCATGGGTGTGTATGTACAGGAAAAAGCAGTACGGATGGGGTTCGGTCCCTCTGGTGTCAGGCGTCCTCTGGGGTCCTGGGATATGTCCCCCGCGGCTGCTGTAACCACTTCCCATCTTCCTAGGTCTGAGGGATTTGATTTGTCCTATGGAGCATTAAACTTTGGTGTCTCTCAAGCACCAAAGTAAGTGTCAGAGTGTTTTTTTTTTTTTTTTAATTAAAAAGATGAAAGTTTTTGTCACTTTCTCCAGTACGTAATGATAAAAAACAATAGTACTTTTGGGGGAGTGACATGTCTGAATATTGTTACTTCAGGGTTGTTCTTTTACTTTTCCATTTCTCTCTCTCTTTTCTTTTAAATTTTTCCAATGAGAAAGTATTTTTCTTTTTTAAATGTGAGAATTAACAAGTGGACCAAATTGACTTCTGCTTTGCCTACTGTTGACACGTAAAGTATACTAACAGGGCCACTTAAACTGACCAAAGGAGGTTTTTATTAGAACAATGCTGCCCAGCAGAAATATAATACAAGCACATATGTAATTTTAAATTTTCTTCTAGCCACGTGAAAAGCAGTAAAAGCACTTGAAATTAAGTCTCATATATTTTGCTTCACCCAGTATTTCCAAAAGAGTGACATGTGGCCATGCAGTCAATGGACGTGGAGAGAGACATCCACCTTTTTCATACTAAGCATGCATTTTTATACAGCACATCTCAGTTTATTTTGAGTCCTTAACTTTTCTAAAATCTGTGATGTATGAACATCATTCTGTTACAGACAGTTTGGGACATCTGCCTAAAGTTCAGACATGTTTCGGACAGGAATATATTACAGTCTCCCATACTCTCCATAATTTTCTCCAGTTTAATTTTTATTTCCAGTCAGTTTTCTGTGTGTGTGTTCTATCCCCAACATGGGTGTAATCTTTCCAGACTTTTACATTTGGGACACCAAATGCTGCTTTTGTGCATTCTAATCTTGTGTTCTTATCTGATACGTCCAATAGCTGAAGTCTTCAAGGGCCCAGTTTCTTATTTTTGCCAACTTTTCCTCACAGGTTTGTTTCCTGGTGTTTTTTTTTTTTTTTTGTAATTTAGGATCATGAGACCATGTTTGCCAGAAACTTTGTATGTTTTGGCATTTCTGAAACTAATCAGAGACTGAATTTTAATCCCAAATGCGTGAGGGTAGACCTATAGTTACGAATCTCTGGATTTTTATTTTTTAGCACCCTGGCTCTGTGCCAAGACACAGATACCCCCGTGTGCCCTGTTTGCTGGGGAGCAGACACCTTTTCTCTACCCTCCTTTTTCACTGAGGGTGAACCCTCTGCAGGGCTTCAGTTCCAAAGCCCTACCATTCCCAAATTCAAGGCTTTGTTTCCTGTCCCCAGGTAGTCATTGAAACCCAAGCCCTTAGATAACGGAAACTGGCCAGTTACTTTGAGGCCAACAGCACTTTTCAGTGTCAGCCTACAGCTGTGGGTTGCTCGCTTTTTAGTCCTGGCTCTGAAACAATGTAAAAATAAAACCTACTGTTTACTGAGTGCCTTTCATATGCCAAGTGCGTTATGTCTGTGATCCCATTTTGTTGTCATCTTTACTGTAATACTGATCACTCTGTGTAAGTGGGACGTATCTGCTTCTCTTTGTGCTTACTCTTGGGTGTATTGGGTATAGGGTGTGATATTTTCATTTATAATAAGGAATATATATTCGGTCTCTGTCCCTTTGAGAGCCAAAAACCCTCGGAATTTCTTAAGCAGTGAGAGTGTCCAAGGTGTCTTTTGTGAGGTTGATGAGTTGACTTTTGGTTGCCTGGAAAAAAGACCTGTGATTAGAAGGGTAGAACTTTCAGTCCTGCCCCCTGACCTCTGGAGAGGGGGGAAGGGCTGGAGGTTGAATCCACTGCCAAGGGTCAGTGATTTAATCCATCTTGCCTGTGAAATGAAGCCTCTTTAAAAGCCCCAAAAGGTGGAGCTTGGAGGGCTTCAGGGTTGCTGAACATGTGTAGAATCCAGAAGAGTGAGATGGAGAGGGCATGAAACCTCTACACCGTTTCCCTTATAAGCATCTTTCCCACCTGGCTGGTCCTGAGTTACATCCATGTATAATAAACTGGGAATCTAGTAAATGTAAGTTTGTGAGTTCTGTGAGCCACCCTAGTAAATTAATTGAGCCCAAGGAGGGTGTCAGTGAGTGTCCAATCCATAGCTGATGATATAACCTGACTTCCAGTTGGTGTCTGAAGGGGGGAGGGTGCTTGTGTCTTGTAGGACTGAGCCCTCGCCCTGTGAATCTGACGCTACCTCTGGGTGAACAGTGTCAGAATTGAGTTGAATGTACGACACCCATCTGACGGGGGAATTGCTTGGTGGTGTGGGCATCCACCTCCCACCTCTGACCCCAGTAGAAGCAGAATTGGGTATAGGATCTTAGCTGGTGATCAGAAGTGGGATCGGAGCCAGAATATTGGATGTGGTCATCATCATGTGTAATATTTGTCTGCTTTCTTATTTTCCTGTTCCGCTAAAATGTAAGTCCCGTAAGGATAGGGGCCATGTCTATCTTGTTCGTAGTTAAATTTCTACTGTCAGTGTGACTAGTTCCTAGTGAGCAGTTGGTAAGTGTGTGCCGTACCGATGAGCGTTATCTATGTTGCAGGTAATGTAACTTTTCAGATGAGAACCTGGGGCCAGGGGAGTGAAGTGACTTGTCCAAGACTACAGAGGTGGTCAGTGACAGAGGATAAAATACCAGACACCAAAATCCACCCCTGGCCCCTGCCATTTGGGAAGCTATTTATGTCATTAGTTTCTGGGAAGCCAATGTGACTAGCTAAATTATGAAAGTGGTTTTATTAAATGATAACTGAAATAAATCCTTCACATCATTAATTTCAAATTATATTTAATTTTAATACTGTTAGATGGTTTATATTGTATAGAATTACGGAAATTTCATAGTATCAGCATGAGTAAAAATTCCAAGCCCTATTGATTATACTTTGTGCAATTTTTGTCCTATTTCTGAATAGCAGATAATATTTATTATATAAAGTAGATTTTGAGTTCTCATTCCTTTAAGAAAGTATTAAAATATGCTTCCTTTCTTCCCTCTCCTACTTTTCTTATTCTCTGGCATAAAAGGGAAGGTTAGCAAGTGATTATTTTTACTGAGCCCATTAGAAAAATCAGTTTATTATTACTTGAAAACATCTCAAACATTTAGCAAGCTCAAAACGTCCTATTCTTAGGTCTCTAAAGATTCTAAAATAGATACAAATTGCCTCGCTTTGACTAAGCTATTATAGTTTTCATTTCAAGACTAGAGACTATTTTCTGCAATAGAGGCAAAACTATCAAATTGGTGTTCAAAGTCAGGTGAATATCGCAAATACTATCCATCACCTGCAGAAAGCCTGCATCAAACATGGGATCATCACAGTTGAAGAGCAGACACCGTATGCTGAGTCCATGGAAGGGCCCGTTCGGGTCTTCCCGGGGTCCGTCTGCAGGACACTGCGGGTCACCACGACTGTGGTTCCTTCTCGACTGTGGTGCAAGTCGAAATGAGTGAATATACGTGCTCTCCGAGTATAAAGGCTTTGACCCATGTGCCTTTGTCAGGTTGATGCTATGAAATAAGTGACTCCGTTGTCTGAAAGAATAGCTCTCCATAGGGTCTGGAAAACATTCTTATACTTTTAATGGTAAATTTTTAAATGTTGTGTACAGGGTTCGACATTGTACAGCTGGAGGCAAAGTCTGAGCGCGTTTCACCGAAAGCACGGAGCTTTGAGTATTGGATGAGCTCCCGCGCACAGAGAAGAGCTTCTCGATCTTCGGAGTGGGAGTGCGGGTTTAGGTTAGGTCAGAAATCAATGATGTTTTATCTCCAAAAATGGAATAAAAATATTTTGGCGATATATATTTTAAACATACAAGGAGTTGTGGAAGCTAGTATTTGGAGGAAATAACCTCTAAAAAATAGGACAGCTCCGAGTAGAAGTACAATTTTAATATGTCTTGTTAATTTCTGTGCACCTGCAAATAGAGAGCATGGCATTACTGTGAGCACCCAGAAGGCAGGACGGCTCTCACTCATTCTTACCCTCCCATGTTCCGCCACCCCTGGCTGGCGCGGGAGGGGGGTCTTTGGAGATACTGGTTCAGACGATCATGGACAAGCCTCAGCACAGTAACCCCCACCTTGCTGGTCAGCCCATGCCGGTTTTGACAGCTTAGGCAGAAACTTTTCCTTGTCTTGAACGACCATGTGCTGTCCTCTAGCTGGCCCCCTGCTAGGCCTGCCCTCTGGGGCCTCACAGAGTAAGTCAGATCCTTCTTCCATGGCAAAAGCCCTTCGCACATCTGAAGGCGGACACAGTGGCCCGGCATGTGAATGACAGTGCGGCCAGCAGCACACTGCAGTCAGATTCTGCCTGCCTTTCAGGACTTGGACTCTGAAGAGGTTTGCTTCATGGGTTACCTCTTCATTCATCTGAATCATATCAATCTTGTAACCAATAAAATCCCTATGTCTTTTTCAAATGCTTCTAAAATATCTCCTTGAGTAGATTTTGACATACACATTTATCCTTATTAAATATTTTGTTGAATTTGGCCTATCATGTTGGCTTTCCCGACTCTTCATGGATTTTTACCATGTCATTACTGATCCTCAAAGCTTTTTTTATGTCGCCTCCCGCCCTCATAAGCTCTGCTCCATACGTACGGGCAGAGAGGTAATTCTCGGCACAGACCCTGCTTTATCTCAGTCTGGGTCATTGTACACACTCTTCTGGAATACTTTCCCCTTTTTTCATCCACTAGCTCTTATTCTTCAAGGCTCGACCGAGACATAGTTTTTCCTAGGACTTCTCTTATCCCTGGGGAGATGGCCCCCCTCCGAGCTCCCACAGAACTCGGTATTATGTTAAATCCTAACACTTACCAAACCTCATCATCCTAGTCTACATTCTTGACTTCTTTTCCTTACTACCTATGAGATCCTGAATGTGGCATGTATTTTCTTCACCACGTAATCTCTACTGCCTAGTACAATGCACGCTGTTTTACGGTATGTTTCTTGAAAAACTAATTCAATGAGTCCAGTGGCCTCACCAAAGTGAGACTAAGCACGTGTACAGGACCACGGACTGCAGAAGCCCTGTGACGTGGCCTCTTAAACCCTGCTCCCTGAGTTCCTGATTTCTATGTCAAGTCACTGTCATTCAACCAGTTATGGAACCCCCACCACACCGAGTCCCCTACAGTGCACATCTCCCATCCCTTCATGTTGGCAAGGGCAACACGAAATATAATGAAACCCTGTCAAACGCTGCCCTGAAATTTGGAAATATTATGCAGATGTTCCCCAAGGGAAACATTTGTGTTGCTCTTGAGCTGTAATGGAATTTAATTCTTGCATCTCTTTCTGTTTCTCTCTCCCTGTTGTTTATAGAAGGTTCTAATCTCATATCGGTTTTCTGTAGATTTTATTTGTATTTTCAAAACATCTTTAGTAGATGTAGAATACTTGATTTATTTAAAAATAAATTTCAACATTTGCATCATCACTGTTGTTTTTTAACGCCACCTTACAACGCTGTTTCTTAGAGTGAAAGTTAGGCTTTATTAATAGTTTAAGGGAGTCTAGAGGAAGCGAATGAAACGTACTTATGTTCACGTGTGTCAGGTGTTTCCCCTGTATTACTGCTCATCTCTCACGAGGACACTGCAAAGCAGATGATGTTAATTCTGTTCCATGTAAGAGGAAAGGAAGTCGTGAGGCGAGAAGGGACAAAACGGGGACTGCGTTCAGTGAGGTTCGCATCTAAAGCAGAGACCCTCTGTGAGGATCTGACAGAAGCCATCGTCCCCTTCCCAGGGGACGTTCCTAAGCCACAAATCAGGGCTTTGTTACAAGCTGCAAGAGGGAATCTGACTTGGAAGAAGAAAGGGAGGCTTTAAGATTCTGAGATCGTGGTAGTTCTGAGCACCACTGGGGCAGTTGGAGAGCCAGGAGTGAGATTCGCCAGCCAAGACACCCCGTCTTGCCAGCGGCCTCCAGCCCTGGGCAAGTTCACTGTGGATTCAATGTGACCAAAGAAATGACAGTAGAATGTTCTTGGGGTGAAAGGGTTATACCCAACTTTATTCCCACGGTGGCAGGTCAGTCACTAGAATCCGTCCACTCAGAGCCCCTACAGCCGTCCTCTGGGCCTCTGTCCTCGGCGCTGCCACCACTCCAGCCTCTGCTCTGCTCTCCTGCAGCCCTGCCACCGTATCGCCCAGGGCACTGGGTGGAGCTCTTTATACAGAGTCAATAGCAACGTGTTGCCCACACGTGTGCAGTGAGCCAGACGACCAGGGCCAGGCGAGCATCCTGGGGCCACAGGAACCTTCCTTTTATCCACATCCCCAAACGCACCGGGAGGGGTCTGGTGAGGAGCCCCCACTTTCGCCGCCTCACCAACGTGAGCAGCTGCGTTTGTTTGCACAGCTGTCTCTGGAATCCGGTGCAGCTGGAAGGCCTGCTGCAACCACACTGTGTTGTCTTTACTGAATGTGTGAAGTGCGTTTATTTTCTTCATGTTTTGTTTTGTTTGTTTTAAGAAGTCGCAAAAGCCGCCGCCCGCGTGCAGCGCCCAGGGCGCGGCCTGGGCTTGCGGGGAGGCCGGGAGGCCGCCGGCTGGAGGCGCGCCTGGGCCGGTCAGCGCGGAGCCGACCCTCCGGGAGCCCGCGGGCCGCGGTCCCGCGCCCTGGAGCCGATCCGGCCCCGCCCGCAGCTGCGCCGGCGCCTCGGCCCTGGCGGAGGCAGGCCCGCGCCTGCCCGCAGCAGCTCGGGACCCTCGGCGACATCCCACGGGGCCTGTTTGCGCAGGCCCGGCTCGGGCGGCCCGCGCCGGTGTGGGCCCTGGACGGGGTGGGCCGGCACTGCCCGAGTCACTGTGTAAGGGCCCCGCCCGTGGCTGTGGGCCGAGGCGGGCGCGGGGGAGGAGCGCAGACCCGCCGGACGCCGGGTGAGCCCCCAGGGTCGGGGCTCGGCCTACTGCTGCGAGAACAAGCCAGGTAATACACCCTCTCACCCCAGGAACACCCCATTGCCATTGCTTCGTCTCCCTGAATCCACAGTGAGCTTGCCCGGGGCTGAAACCACTGGCAAGACGCTGGGTGCAAGGCCGGGTCACCCGCTGGGTTCCTCAACACCTCTGAATGTGCGAACCCCACATTCCCACCTAGCACTGGGCCCTGCAAATCATGCAGGCGGTCCTGGCTGCGCACACGGGCCTGCAGCGACCACCACCAGGTGGGAACGGACACCAACGCGGGCCCGGGGCCGTTCCCGTTGCCGCCACAACCCATCCTGCCGCTGCTATTGTGGGGTACCCGGCAGCACCCCCACTCCTGCTCTGAGAGGGAGGGAGGAAACCCGTGCAGCACAAACCTTGTGTGGCTTTTCGGTGGTTCCTGGATTTCTGAGCCGCCCCTGTGGTGCCAGGTTAAGACTCGAACCCCAAAGCCCGGATCTCACTGTGCCCCCTTCCTCCGGGAGCAGAGGAGGGGAGGCTCTCCTCGTGGGAGAGGAAGTGCTGTGATTCTTGATCCGATTAAACCCTGACCGTAGGTTTACAGATCTTGACTGTGACCTTAGGAAATGTGTAATGCACTTGCGCATTCTAGGGGAGCACGTGATGTCCGTGGGACGGCGCCGTCGCCAAGGAGGGAGAGTGTGTGGGTGAGTGGGAGCCTGCCTGCCGCTGGAGACCGGGACCACCTGCTTGAGGGCGGTCCTGAATTAGCTCCTCCAGCCAGGATGTACTGAGCCCCTGTGCGCGCTCGATGTCCGGCTAGGTGTAGGGAGACAATTTTGAGCATTGGGGTTCATATCTAGTCACTGGAGCCCCAGGGACAGCAGGCAGGCTGAGTAGATACTCTGATACCAATAATTAGGAGGATATGCTTCTTCACGTTAATACACCTTCGTAATTTTCTAGAAATTGAATGATAATTGTCATTGACAATTGAAATCTGTAACTGAAATTCAAAAATAGCAATGTCATAGCTAAACATTTTGTGGGATAGTACAAGATACGGCATTTAAATTTATACATGAACTGAAAAATGGAGCAGGTCCTGTCATAATTTGACAGGCATAATCACTTACCCTGCAATGCAAATAGTAACCTGATAGCAAGATGCTAATAGTGCCTCGGTGCAGGTGCTGCTAATGAGCTATCGGATCAGGCTGACTCATATTCTCTTACCTACGCATAATGTTTGTGCAAAATGCAAATGTGAGCTGTAAGCTGAGATGTTTAAGTGCCACCTAGGCTCATGGATTGACCTTGAAACAATGAGAATTTTGAGTTGGGCGATGATCACAGCTTAATTGTAGCGCAGAGAAGCGTCAGATGTCTGGTTCTCCTGACTGCCACAGTTTGCCCTCAAACAGGAAGTCAAGTCGATGTAGGGTCTGGCCAGGTGATAGTGAGCAGACGGGTCATTTCTCATTTGTTCTTCCTCCCCATTTCTAGTAGTTGGACTGCTCTGGGAGAAATGGTAGCAATTACTGGTATAATTAGGGGTCACTCATTTGTTTATTCAGCAGATATTTATTGAGTGCCTGCACTCAGCATGTAGTAGGAATGACATAAATATTTATTGAATGAAAAATAGTATCTTGAGTTAAAAAAAGCCTTCCATAAGTAATTTGCAAACGTTGCACTAACCTGTAGTGAGGAAATTATTTCTATTCGTGTGATTCAAATATGGAAAAGATAGTCAAATAGTTTACTCCCCTAAGTTTTTCAGCCTCTTTTCAGTTGGGAGGGAGAAAACAGGAGCTCTGGCTAATTAGATAATGAGTCTACTTGTGAGCTGAGCGCCTGGGAAGCCTAGCGGTCAGGGAGGGAGACGGTGTGTTCTGGAAAGTGGAGCGGTGCTGAACGGTGGGCAGCAGAGGCTCTTCTGATTCCTGCAGCGCGCGTCACAAGAGAAAGGAGCTCTCATGGTGGCCGAGAGAATTTGTGAGTTTTTCTGAAGTAAAGGGCTTTGTTTTTTAATACCATATTACCTAGCCTGTCCTGACTAATGCAGGCACCATTGTATGCCTTCTATTCTGGAGGATTTTGTCATTGCTATTGAAGCATTGTTGATTGTAGCCAAAGACTACAGATATTTAAATGACCATTGCTAACAGGTAGCTTAGATGAATTATAGTATCCCATACCTTTGAATACCAAGCAACATTGAAAAGACTTGTAAAGTGAAGGTTCCTGTGGCCAGGATTCTCACCTGGCCCTGGTTGGCTAGCTCACTACACACGTGTGGGCAATACATGGCTATTGACTTTATATAAAGAGCTCCACCCAGTGCTCTGGGCCACACGGTGGCAAGGCTGCAAGGCTGCAGGAGAGCAGAGCCTAGGCTGCAGTGGTGGCAGCACCGAGGACAGAGACTGAGACGGCTGTAGGGGTAGAGAGACCCAGAGGCAGAGACCAGCTTGCTGCGTGCAGACTCGCTCTGAATGGACGGGATTCTAGTGACTCACCTGCCACCGTGGAAATAAAGTTGGGTATAAACCCTTTCACCCCAAGAACATTCTACTGTCATTTATTTGGTCACACTGAATCCATAGTGAACTTGCCCGGGGCTGAAACCCATTGGCAAAACAGGTCTTTTTTTATTGTGGTAAAATATACATCACATAAAATCTAACCATTTTTAAGTAGACAGTTTAGTGGTGTCAGGGATATCAACGTTATTGTGCAGCCATCACCACCATCCATCCCCACAATCGTTGTCATCTTCTCACATGGAAACTCTGTGCCTGTTGAACAGCACCTCCCCAGCTCCTCCTCCCCCAGCCCCTGGCGACCGTGACTGCGCTTTGTCTCCCCAAGTCTGACTGCTGTGTGCACCTCATGTTTGTGGAGTCGCACAGTATTTGCTCTTTTGTGATTGTCTTATTTCACTCAACTCAGTGTCTTCAAGGTACATCCAGGGTACAGCCTGTTTCAGAATGCCCTTCCTTTTTAAGGCTAAATAATATTCCCGTTGTATGTGTGTGTGACATTTTGTTTATCTGTTCATTCATTGTCATATTATTCATTGAGGAGTATTGAGGTTGCTGCTACCTTTTGGCTGTTGTGAATCCTGCTGTGAGCACGGGTGTACAAATACCTCTTCAAGTCCCTGCTTTCAATTTTATGGTTGTGCACCGTGCAGTGGAATTGCTGGATCCTGTGGTAATTCTGTTTAAGTTTTTAAGGAACCTCCATACTGCTTTGCGTAGCAGCTGCACCATTTTACACTCCCACCAGCAGTGTGCAAGGCATCCAGTTTCTTTACATCCTCTCTGAAACTTCTTATTTTCTGTCTTGTTGGTGAAAGCCATCCCAATGGGTGGAAAGCGGCAACTCAGCGTGCTACTGACTTGCGTTTCTCTAATGATTTCTCTAGCCTGTAAGTCTAGAGGATTTAGAAGTTATAAATGATACTAGGAAGTCTTCCTTGGCTATTTTATAAGCTATGGGATAACTTCATTTTTGTTATTCTCTAAATTATTACTTTGAAGTACTTACAGTTTTATACCTTATGTTTTCACCTCCTTCAGATGCAGGGTAATGACTAGTATTTGAATAATTTTCATTTGCAATTTTGACCAGTGAAGTTTCTCGCATTTTCCTTAACATTTGAATGGTACTGTCATGTAGTGGTTAAAAGTATAATTTCTTGAACCAGGAAACAATTTGAGTTTATAGCCTGGCTCTGCCACTTCCTGGCTGTGTGACTTTGGACGAGTTACTTAACCTTTCTGAGCTTCAGTTTCCTTTTCTGTACAATGAGTATAATATTGGTACCCTACTCAGAGGGGTGTTGTGAATATTAAGTAGATATGTGTAAATCTCTTGAAACAATTCCTGGGACATAGTAAATATTTAGTATTAGTTATTATTGTAGCTTAATTAAAATGCTGCAAATCATTTAGTGGCAGTCCAGCAAATGTTTTTATGCATTAGGAAAAGATATTGACAGTATTATTTAAATCTGAAGCAAGAGAGTAAAGATTCATTATGGCTTCTGGAGAAGAGTCTATGGCTTTGAATAGAAGGGCTTTCTGGTCTCTGTTAGTCAATAAAAAGTAGTTGAAAGTCACCTTTAGTACTTCTCGTAAAGGGAACTAATCTTTTGACACCATGGGGCCTTGAATCAGTGGCTGCCGATCAATATTTTCTGTATACAGTTACGTTTCCTCTCACCTTACTCACTATGGGCTGAAAATCAACACACTTGGACTGAGAAAATCAATGGCATCCATTGTGGTTCAGGGAACCCTGGGTGGGAGACATATGTCCTTTTGGAAAACACATCCAAAGGAAATTGTGTACGTGCTTTCTCAGAGGAATCCTGAAGTCATTCCTGGATGAATTTGTGATCCAGCAGGTTTCTCCCCAATTACACAAGATGGAACATCAACTCTTCACCTCGCAGTAGCCAGGCTACTTCAAGTGTCCCGGTAAAGACACCAAGACCTGTGAGAGTAATTGGCTCTGGGGGGCCTGACTCAGAATTTACAAACTGCCTCTCCTTTCGGGCCCATTCGGCCTTGGTTTTCAGGGACGTTTACTACTTACTGCTCTGAAAGGAATCTCATTTTCAACCGCCTCGACGAAATGCCCCTGAATGGTTTTGAGCCTCCCTGTTAGAGGAACCAGATGAATTACTATCAAAAGATAATTCACATTGTGAATTTTGTCTCTTTAACAACATGCGCTCCCTGTTGGCGAATTAAGGAAGCACTTCATTGATTTTAAGGTCATGACCCCGAGAGTGTGTAGACCTTGTGCTGGGGGTTCGCTCTGCATTAACTAACTTTCAAGACATAAACACACGTGTGTGGCCCGGATGGGGAGCCGAGTGGTTTGCTTTCGGAATCCCGAAATGATGTTTTCTGGATGAAATCCGTGCCGGGATAGATAGGCTCTGAGGTTTTCTCAAATGGCTGATCACTTTTTTCATAGGAAAAAGCCAGAGAGGAGAATCTGCACTTGTTTTTTGCTGAGTGTACTAGGAGAGTCAGGATGTGTGCCTTATGTTGTCATTTGTGAGCTAGAGGCCCACAGTTAGGATAGACAGTTGGTCGTCCTTCACCGTGTCGTTACCAGCTGGCGTCTGAGCTAGTTCAAGGTGCTGTCAGAAGAGACCGGGAAGGAGAAACTAGGTAAAGTGGTCTGGGAGAAAGTGGTCCTGCAGAATCTGAGGGAAGAAGGGAAGTAGCCAGCTGTGCAGATGCTTAGAAATTTTAGTGGAAGCAAAGTAATGAAGCCCTGGCCCTGTGCCCGCTGCCCAGAGGCACCCTGTGAGGCTGGAACTACGTTCCCCAGACCACCCTCCCTGCACGGTGAGAGTGGGCAGGAGAAGGACTCGCGTTGCCGTTGGGTGTGTGGAGGCAAAGCCGGTATTCACAGGTGGCAGCGGCCCGGGGTGGCCCTGCAGCCCCTCTGGGGCATCCCGGCCGCGTGCAAGTTCCTTGGGCTTCCCCGTGAGCCCTGGCAGCACCTCGTCCCCTGCTCTGCTGTAAGCCAAGGG